CAGGAATGAGTGCGCCCTTCCTCCAAGGTGCTTTGCCGTGTCGAGATGTGAAGGACGCATGCCCACGAGACCCACAACCCGCGTGGAGGGACGTGTGGCCCTGGAGGCAAAGGCGTGGCTTGCAGTGCTATTAGAATGGCAAAGTTGGAAACAGTCAAAAGGTCCAGTAACGGAACAGGTAGACTGTTGCATAGACACACACAAGACCAAAGGCTTAAGCCTCTAGGAGTGTTGATCCATATCTACTGCCACGTGGTGTCCATATCCTGTGACACGGAAAGAAGGCTACAAAAACAGCCTGTGGTCCCAGATACGTAAATGTGCCCAGGTACGCACGGAAATGAGCACGAAGGCGCATCGAGAACAAAGCGCTGGACTGTCACGTGCTTTTTACTTTTATTATTGTGTCCGGGGCTTGTCAGGTGGCCTTTACTCAAATGTGAAATTGAACGTGCATGGGTGTGAAAGGGGCCTGTGACCCTCCCAACAGCTGTGAGCCACTGCTGAGGCCACGGCATTCGTGAAGGGCTTTTCCGGGGCGGCCAGTCCCACCAGCGTGTCTGAATTTTACTTCCTGCCTCACTGCTCTTCTGGGCCAATCTAATCAACAAAGAGCTAGATTTGGGCTATTTCCACTTTCTAATCTCTCCCAAAATTTGAAGTCATCGGTTTTTAAAAGGAACTGCAGGGGAGAGAGAAAAGCTCTTTAGTCAGCCCAGAGTTTGAGAGCAGAAGCTTAAATTGAATTCCAGTTCCAATAAACGGAGCTGAATGTTGGCATAGGAAGGGAGAGGGAACCGGGTACTTTGGGGTCATCTTGGCTTAAGTTGTGGGAAAGTTGAGAAAGTGATTCCAAAGCCTCAAGGAGAAAGCTGCATCTTAATGAGAACTGAAGGGCGGGTGGAATTTCAAGGCAAAGATGACCGGGAGAGTGATGTCCAGTAAGGGGCAGCACGAATTAGGACAGACAGGTGGGAAAACCAGGAAACGAAGAATGGTTCAGTTGAACTGGAACGTGGGATATTCAAGAAGCAACATGTGAGGGGCGCCTGGGTGGCTTAGTCGGTTAAGCGTCCAACTTTCGCTTAGGTCATGATCTCGCGGTTTGTGGGTTCGAGCCCCGCGTCAGGCTCTGTGCTGACAGCCAGCTCGGAGCCTGGAGCCTGTTTCAGTCTGTGACTCCCTCTCTCTCTGACCCTCCCCTGCTCACACTGTCTCTCTCTCTCCCCTAGAAATAATTAAAACATTAAAAAAAAAATTAAAAAAAAAAAGAAGCAACATGTGAGAAGGTGGGAGGGCCCTGAAATTACGCTAAGTTTAAACGCTGCTTCCCAAGGAGAGCATTTCTTCAATGGGGAACTCAGGCTTGTTCTCCAGAGATCACAGGTGCCTGATGAGAAGTTACACATTTCACATTTGAAGTTTAATTTTTAAAAGGCTCATAAGTTAGACCTGGATGGCCTCCTTGTCCCGGGACACTACCACGTAATTCTGGTATCCATGTTTGTGTTGTAACCACCTCAGTGCCAGGTAAAACACAGGTGATCTCACCACCTGCCACATAAACAACAGCTTCACATTTGTTTGTATGCTTTGAGTTGAAGACAAAAGGAGCTCTTGCACTGGACACTCTGCTCAACTAACGCAAACACATTTGAAAACTTGGGATGTAATTTTCAAGGTATGTAATTTATCAGAACTGATTCTAGAAGAGACAAAACCTGGGGCGCCTGGGTGGCTTAGTCAGTTAAGCATCTGACTTTCGCTTAGGTCATGATCTCGCGGTTCGTGGCTTCAAGCCCCGCGTCGGGCTCTGTGCTGACTGCCAGCTCAGAGCCTGGAGCCTGCTTCAGATTCTGTGTCTCCCTCTCTCTCTGACCCTCCCCTGCTCACGCTGTCTCTCTCTCTCTCCTAGAAATAAATAAAAATATTAAAAAAAAAAAGATTAAAATGGTCAACTTCACATTAAAAAAAAAGAAGAGACAAAACCTAAGCACATCAATTTTCATCGAGAAAATGAGGAAGTCGGCAGATACAACCTCCCGAAAGGGGTCCCGAGGGAATCCTAAGGAAAGCACCAATTCTGTAGAGGAATAATCTCAACCCTTTTGGGACAGGCCAGAGAGGGAGGAGAAAGGCCAAGAGCAGCTACACGAACCAAGACAATGAACATGACGTATGTGAAAGTCACCAAGGAACACAGGTCTCTGGGACTAACAGCCCCTATTTGGAAACAGTAAATAAGGTTCCACGGGCAATAGATTTTCACATTATGAAGGTACCAAAGGCAGGGAAAAACGAGCTTTAATGTAGTAGTTTTCTACGTCTTGGAAAGTTGCCCACATTTCCCATCCACTCATTCCCCCTCACCTCTCACTGTGCCAACCACAATGCTGACGAAAACTAGTGTGACTGGTATAAGTATTACATGTAGTTTGTAAGAGAGAAAGAAGCAATGAACCTTTAAGAGAATATTTAAATTTTAGCACCGATTTGGACCCTTCAAATTCCAAATCAACATCTACTAATGTATTGCTATGTCACCTAGTTTCTCCTAAGTACCTTCTTCTCTTCTGGGTCCTTTTGAAGCCTCTCCAGTACAAGGCTTCTGTCACTCGCTCTGTCGCTCACTGACCACCTCCGTCTCCTGCACAGGTCATTTTCCGCGCTTGATTTTATCACATGCTGCACTTTGTGTTTCTTACTGCAGATTCCTCGTGGACGTCTTCATCATCTTCCTAGGTCCCCGTGCGTGGCCATTTCATACACTAAAGACACTGATCTGACCCACGGTCTTACTCTAGAAGGTCAGAAGCTTCCTCACCTGGAGAAACACCTCACTCCTACCCTACAAGTGATTATAACCAGTCCCTACAACCAGTTCCAATGCAAGAATTTGGCATCTGGAAACTATGTTATTGAGTAGTCCTTATTCTAGTAATCTTATTAAATAGATATATAAATGGCAGGACTTAGTGTCTCTCAGGGAGGTTAGGATCAGGATACTTAGGTACCCTTGGTTCTCAAATGTTAAATTTAAATGTATATATAAAGAAATTATTATTTTCAAATTCCTAACATTTGAAATACAATGGTTCTGGGAAATGTTAAAAATAGATTTAATGAAAATTCAACTGATAGTCTGGAGATAGTACGATATAAACGAAGAATAGTTTTCAAGACTTCTACAGAGACAGTAATACCATACTAGTTAAGAGCCCAAATTTTGGTACCAAAATAATTGGGTTTTAAACCTTATACGACAAAGTGTACCTCCAAACCTGAAAAACGGGAAGCGTGCGTGACAATAACGGCAACAAGAAGGGGTCCTTGTGATGACAGCACTGTTTTGCATCTTGACTGTATTTATGTCAATATCCTGGTTACAACATTTTACTCTAGTGTTTGGGTGTGTTATCCCTGGGGAAAACTGAATTAAGGATACACAAAAACTCTGTATTATTTCTTAACAACTCTATGTGAACCTATAATTATCTCCAAACAGAGTTTCATTAGTCATTTGCAAATGTTGACTTAACTTGTAATTTCAAAACTAGCCTATGCAGTTACATTTCTTTTCTAACTTCTATGATGAGTGAAACAAAGTGACGTGGACTACAAATTCCTTTATTTTAAATTCAGCAATGACATAACCAGAAGGTGGCACTGCTACCACATGACTAGACCAGGGTAAGGGACAGTCACTTTAAATGTCGTGAACACGGAATATCAAGGTTTTATCCATATCAAAACTGTAAATGCTAACTCCAATTCAATCATATTTTCAGTAAGTCTTACATGAGGTTTGAAAAAATACACTTTTCATAAATCATTAAAGAATAATGATTTTTAATAATCATTAAAACATAAAATTTAGGGGGGCGCCTGGGTGGCTCAGTCGGTTAAGTGTCCAACTTCGGCTCAGGTCATGATCTCACGGCTCATGGGTTCAAGCCCCGCGTCGGGCTCTGTGCTGACAGCTCAGAGCCTGGAGCCTGTTTCAGATTCTGTGTCTCCCTCTCTCTCTGATCCTCCCCTGCTCACGCTGTCTCTCTCTCAGGAATAAATAAAAATATTTTAAAAAATAATAAAATAAAATAAAATTTGGGGTCTGCATAACATGGAAGGTTGCAAATGAAAAATCCAAAACCATCTAACTACGTGTATTTTCATCATGTCGGGTGTAGGCCATCAAACCCGTCTACACAAGGAAGATTCTTACCCAGTATGGTATGAAGCCGTTCTATTGCTGTGCTTTTTAGTACACATACTTCCTGCCTCACCAACTGACCACATTTTGACAAAGGTACGAGCCCCACTTGAAGATTTCTGAACTGCGGCTAGAGTAAAAGAAAAGCTGAGAAAGGAATCTCTTCTTTTGTGAAAGCAACGAAATTTAGAACTTTCTCATTTGGGGCTTTTTAAAAACAAAAATGTGTAAGATCTTTTCAGGGAAAGAAAATTAAATTGCACCAGTTAATAAAAATTACTAAGATAGGTAGCCTTTCTCCAATTCCATCATTATTAGATGCCGGATATAGGAGCAGATGTTGACGATCTGTTACCAAGAGCCAGTCTGCAAAAAGCAGCCTTTAACAGCCTGACAAGCAGCTTCAATGAGCACATGTCAACGGCCCGTCTGGGGATCAAAATGTGGTCCACACCCAGCCTTGTCGGGCTGTGTCCAGTGTAAGCAGTAACCAAGCACTGCAAAAGCAGCTTGGACAACTCAAACTATGCTCTGAAGCCACCGTCTGTAGCACTGCTTCTGAGAACATGTTTTTCTTTTGTTTTAGGTAAGCAAAACAATCAAGCTTTTTTTTCCCCCCAGAAACAACCATCTTTTCTTGTGTGATTTTCTAACAAGCTGTGCCTTTCAAAGATCACCAAATAGTTACTCCGTCCTTAAATATGGAAATTCAAGTCAACTGACCAAACATAGTTGGCACTAGTTCTATTTACTTGTTCACATCAGAAGCCGAACCAAACCAAATGAGAAGTAAGTTAGAACTTTTAAGTTTATTTTCAAATCATTACAGTGTTCAACCAGTTTGACATTGTAAGATAACAGACGTAAAAGTAAACACTGGGAAGCACATGTATATTCCCATTCTGAAAGAAGACATGTTCTATATACAGAAAACAAAATGCAGCAAATATTAAGGTATTCAAAGTAATTTTTTGACAGCTTGGATGTGACATATTTACAAGAAAAGTATGTCTTAAAATAATTAAATAATTTTCATAGAATTATAAAAGTACTGAGATAAATATTAGGAGACCCTGACAATCACAAGAACATTTTCCTATGCTACTGAATATGAGGGTAGTTCTATAAAAAGTCCCAAAATAGAGCTAATATTTTGCTACTATGAAATATATCAAATTACCAATACCAAAATATGCTAAAACAAACATGCAATGTAGAAGCTGTACCAAAGAAAAAAGCATTAGGCTCCTGAATATTGCAAACTGTGTCCACGAGAGATCTTAGGTATGTTCATGACAGAGGAACTTTCAAAAGAGCCACTGTAATGGACGTATCATCAGAAAAAGTGATAACTACTTAAAACCTTTCCATTCTACCATTTTCCAATCTAGCTGCAAAACGGGGGGAAAATCAAAAGATGACTTTTCAAAATATTAGCTTATGAATAAAAAAGTTGAGTGGTGCACGTTACGCATTTGGATTTTTAAACTGATTCTATGATAATTCCGATGTAATAGATAGTAAACTCTGGACCCCACTGCTGTGGTAGGAAATCTCTCCCTCTCTGTCTCAAACAAGAGTCATTTTAGAAAATGAAAAGGAGAAACAGTGACACGTATGAATTCAAAACAAAACAGCACAGTAAGATGGCAAAATATCATAAAAATAGCAGCATGTGAAATTCAAGACCATTTTCTTAAAGCAAATGTTTAAGAATCAACCGTAAAAATGATACCTCAAACTGGTCTTTTATTTGACACTTGAAACTAAGGATTTCTTAGAGCAGTGCTTACACTGATGATATCCCCGTGATTAATGTACACTCAAATGTGTGTTTTAAAACACGTATATTGCACAGGTAGTAGAATAAAAGCACTCTGGCATCTCAAACATAAGATGCTATCTTACTTAACACATTAAACTATGCTACTCAAAGTTAAATCTTATCTCAATGTTTAAAACCAATCACATCGGACTTTTGAGCATAGTAATCTGACAACTTCTCAAGCAAGATGAGAAAACACAGGCACTTGAATGTAATTAGTGACAAAAAGGAGAGGCATGACTAAGGGCAGTATGTCTTTACGTATAAACTCACAGTCTTTCACTGATCCAAATATAGAAAGAAGAACTATTTATAAAACCTCGATAGGAAAGTCAGATCTCTTAGAAATTTCAGACCAAGTCATCTTCACCACTTAATAAAGCAACGACTGCTTAAGTCCTAAGCTTTTTCCAACACGTGTCCAAGCTACAGCTGTCTGAATCCTAGTTCCTACCTCCGGGAAACCTCCAGCCCTCACTGATGGGGCCAGTGACAATCTCTGCGCAAAACCTGCTACTCACCTTGACAACCAGAGCATCAAAAGTGGTGATCGTTTCTCAACTGTCCACGTCGAAGTATAAAGTGTACAGCACCACAGACATCGTGATTTTAGTTATCTTAGTCTGACAAGATTTCGTTCAGTAATACTAACCAGTAAGAATGTGGAAATATCGAGCATCTAACAGGAAGTCAAAGTAGCATTTTAAAAACAACCAAAATAATACGCATTTTTAATGTTTTAGGTTGTGAAACATTTAAATTGTCAAATTCACTAGGGAAAAAGTATCACGCACACATTTTTATCACCCAAAAGACAGCACACAAAGCTTCAGACGGTTGATACTGAAACACTCGGGTTTTTTCTTTTCCTTCGCCTGCTGTGTTTTGTTTTAAAGAAATCGCGTCCTGTTTGGCCACTCCCTGGATCCTTGGTTTACCAGCCTGTAAAGAGTACATCTAAGAGGCAGTATAATGTGTGTGTTAAAAACCGTTTCACCCTTTATCATCTTTGGCTAGAAGCCTCGTGAGAGGAAACAGGGGCTGGGGAGACGGGGGGGGGGGCGGGGGGGGCAGGGGGCCCGCGAGCTTCTGTCCTACACGTCGCTGACCGGAAGGCTTGCATCATCCAGGTCCACCAGGTCACGGTCGTCACCCTGAGGGCCAGTTTTACTTTGAGGTTTTGGCAGCGCGCATTCAGTCACTTTGGGAGCTGGTTCTCCTGGAGAGACAGTCTGGACCTTGACGTTCCCTGGCTTGACCTTGGCAAGAGATTCGTGAAATCCTCGCTTCTCCACGGTAACGCTGGAGACCACAGAGTTGCTGCGAGAGGCCGCGCCGAGTGCGGCGGTGGCGGCGGCGGCAGGGCGGAAAGCGGGCCTGGGCTCTGGGGGACAGCTGGGGCGCTCCTGGAAAGAGGACAGGCCGTCAGACACCGTCAAACATTAACGACGGAGTTAGTCACTCAGCGTGAGACTTCACTCTCTGAAAAACAAACATACACACGCGCGCGCACACACACACGGAGCAGAAGCAAGAGCCATGCAGCAAATGTGTGCACGTTCCTTCCCAAAGCAATGCGTTTTTAGGAGTGAGGTTAAAGCCATGACAGTCCACAACCATTTCCACTAAGAAACCAGGTCTGTCCCCACAGCTCTGCCACTGGGTCGGCCCGCGCCTGAGCGGTGTGTGGAAGGGCCCTGCGGCGGCGTCTCATATTAAGAGTGTGTTCTAGTCTCTCAATCGACACTGGGATCGTCCCACGTATTTTAGAAAGATAAAAAATAAAGATGCAAAATATCAAAATGAAAGGCCGTAGGTCTTTAATAAGCAGAACTGTTTTTCAAACCTACGATTCTGTCTGGCAGTCTGACCAACTTCATTCTTCTGCCCTGAGTTTCACAGCAGCGGATAACTGTGCCGCCTTTTCACTTCCCCCTAACTGTATTTACTTAGTTTTGAACACGTCACTCATTCATATGGCTTCAGATTGTAAAGGCAGCAAAGGGTACATATTTAATCATTTATTAAATCTGTGGCGAAATAAGGGTCAGTTGGGAATCTTAACTTCCACTTGCTTCTAACTGAAGATGTCCTTCAATAGGACCGTTCCAAATGCATTGCCATGTAGCTCTTAGCATACTGTGTTCATGTATGACGCTATTGGCTTTGAAAACAAAGCACTACAAATTCACAAAACACTCTAGACTCCCACGAGCTGGCGAAATTTCACCTGAGATTTAAAATGCCATGCAAACTATAGTACCGTAGAGTTTATCCAATGCATAAGCACTCATGAGTTTGCACAGATGATTAGAGCAAGAGTGCACTGAAGTGGTGTAGTGTAAAAAATTTCAAAATACATAAAATGCAGAAGTTGAGACTTGTGGCAATTCAGCAAATTAATTTCTAGGACAGCTTAATGTGACGTGTTCAATCAGTAAGGTTTGATTTTTTTCATGATTTATCTTTTCTCACTGTTTAAATCTACATATCCAACCGGATGACCATAGTGAAATCGTTTTGCGTTAGTGTTGACAAAGTCAGTTACGAGAACTGCAAAAGGCAGTCTGGTTAACTCAACTTTCTACGATCAGTTGTGAGTAGTGAGTAAGTCCGGGCCCTCTAGTAAGAAGGCACGTGTGCGTGAGAGCCCACATACGTGCTGCATTCACCAGTTCTTGATGTATACCTCTGTATACAAGGGTTCGACAGCCTTCTGGCCTGCCGCATCTGGAACACAGTGCAAAGCTAGGATTAGAGTTAACCTATACTGAGGACAGGGAGCAAAAGAGAAAGTTCTGCCGACAGTGACAGCTAGAGAGTCCACTTTGCCCCCACCACAAAGCACGAAACACAAGTGCCCTTCTCCAAGTTTTCCTCTTTCCCAACAGACAGTGTTTTTGCAGAGAGTCTCATACTTGGCTGCTGAAAAGGTCACATAAAACACAGGCAGTTACAAAATTAACACCTATGAAAGTGACTTCTAAGATATTCCAAAAAGGATCTAAGGACAATAATTTAAGAAATGAGAAACATGGATTTGTTTTTACTGATCTGTAGTTTATCACTACCAGGAAACTACCAGAAAATACCACAAGTGCGGAATATCTGGCATTTACAATAAACCCGTAGAAGGTAATAAAGGCTTTCATGCTACATGTTAGACGACATTCTGTGGACAAAAGGGCTACATTTCAAGACCCTTAAATTTTTTTTCTATTCTTCAGTAGAACGTTTGTGTTTTCTGATGAAACCAGTGACTGAAGGGTCCTACAGCCAAACCTTACTGCTATGATGTACCTGAACAGGATAAATTAAAAATTAAAAACATTTTCCTTGTCATTTTTGAGAATGTTTAACATTTCAATTTTATTGTCATTTTATCACAGAGACAATAATGATCGTGAAAAGCAGCAGGCTTTTAAATTACTCTACCAGAAAATGAGAATGAGGACACGCAATGAAAAATAGTGATGGAGAACACGAAATCGTATTTCCGGTTCTGGCTGCTCAGTGGTCTTACAACACTAGTAAGCCAAATAAAACCTTAACTGAAATTCGAAGGAATAGAGAAGAAATGGGACTTTCACCAAACTGTGTAATGCTACAATTTAAGGCGCTTGACAGGATTAGGCCATATCCCGTATGGAGAATTTGTCAAGTTGTAACAAATCCAGACCCACTGACAAGTAAGAACTCCTAAAACAAAGCAAGGAAACGCTCATTCTTTAGTTGCCCTGCTTGTGCATTTAAGACAATACAATGCACAGAAAGTTATGTATACATAACACTACGAGGAAGCATTAAATTAGAAATGCATTATTTTTTCGCAAGTCCAATTGGTATGAAAGTCAACATGCAAATAAATCTCAATACAGAAAGAAACCAGAAGGATTGCGGGGGAGGAAGGAAAATAACTGGACAGGATGGGGGGACCCTAGGGAGGAAACATACAGAAGATGCTGTTCGGCCAGGCCCCCGCTGTGCTACAATGGCCCCAGACACTGCTTTAATCCAACTGTGCATCTCTTCAGGGCTATCAGCCTAAGGGAAAGAAAGGATTCAGTCAGTCAATTTGTCCTCAAGATCAGCTCCTACATCTACAAATCCAACGTATTCATTTTGGTAAATTACAATGTCAACAACAAAATCATCCCGAGACAATGGTTTCCAAAAACTTTCAAAATCACTGTTTTAAGCCAGGTTTTGCCAGGTAAGTCTCTGTAATAGAGACAGAAGTTGGGCACTTGGTGCTTTAGGATCAGACACATCAGAAAATCAATATGAATACTTCTGGAGAGAAAATGAGAGGAAGAAGTCAAACTTTCTCATTTTGCTCTATCTACTGCTACACTGTCTGAATCCGCTACAAGACTATTTATGTGACTGTGGAGTTAAAAAGCCATTTGATGCCATTTTATGTATTATTTTTCTAGAAATCATTTCTAGGGCTACACTAACTACTGAGAGAAGTATTGGTGGTCATATTCCAAAGTATCATATTCCTTGACAGGACCTTGCCTTCCAACGTGAATGAAAAACTTTATTGTGACTTTAAATCCAAGTAAACAAAACCTAAGAGGGGTGTAGAGATACTGCCCTTCTGTTCAAAATTTTTAAGCTACAAAATAACACTTTTGAACCATAGATTTTTAACAAAGACTTTTTAAAGGAAACACCCAAAGCAGGCAAAGGTAAAGAAACAATCTAAAACTCAATTGGGCAGAAAAGGAGGTTTAAAAAGGTTTATGTTCTGATAGTTATTCTTGATCTAGAAACTTAACCTAAAGAAGAAATCCAGGCAAATTTAAGCCCAAAAATGTTTACCATCACATTGTTTATCAAAGTAAATACACAAAACTATGTAAATAGTAACAGAGTAGCAGAGAAACAGTTTAACTGTGGAGCATTCACACACTAGAGTATGGTGCAGTTCTAAAAAGTCTTCACAGAAGTTTTAACGATGTGGAAAAATGACTATAATATATTAAGAAGAACATAACTGTGTGTACTTTGTATGACCTACTTGTTATAAAAATACACGCCTTTAAAAAGGCACTAAGGATGGTTTCCTGAATATGGGATTCTGGGTGTTTTACAAACTACCCCTTTCTTCATATTTTTCTATATTTTCCAAGTTTTCTGCAATAATAGTATGTAGCTTTTATAAAACAAAACCAAATGTTCTTTAAAAAAAACACTTCCTATCTACCTAATACACTAAAAAGTTTATTTTAAACTTAAATACAAGATGTCTAGCTACCACTGGTGAGATCTACTGTCTACTTTTAATGTGGGTATTTTCAGTCCCATTTCTAAAATTACCAAAAATGATGCAGTCAAAATTCTAAAATATGTGTAAAATTAATCCAAATTGAAAGTTAGCATCTACATTAAAACAGCACTTCCCTTCCCAAAACTACTACTTAATTCTACTCTACCAGTTCATAACACCCGCTATTTGCTGAACATATGACCTACCAATAATTTTATATGTAACATTTTTTAAGTTGTGAATTACAGTTGTCATATTTTTCATTATCCTCATAAGCAGTAAGTTTATTTATGTTCCTGTCACCTCTAAAATTATTAATCTCTTGTTAAGAGGGTCTATAATCTGCAAAGAAGACTCTCACCTGCACATAGAAAGTTCGAGACGATGTTACAATTTCAAAGAGATTGTCTCTCATCATTATGTCACTGTTAACAAAAACAAACGTCCAATTGCACTTAAATAGCAGTTGTTCGATAGTTTTTCTTCAATTTGTTTATCTGGTACCAAATATTAACATATATATGTCAATAAGAAAATAAATAGAGATAAAATGTTGGTTTAATTTAGCAAAACCAAATCATCTTTTCCAACTTATTTTTGCATTAAATTTTACAAAGTTTATATTGTTATAAATATACTTTTAGAAAACGTTCATAAAAGGAGTTTAAAATTCAAACTTCTCAACTGTGAACAAATCAGTTTGCTCAAAGAAACACAAGCACAGTGAACACATTTTCTCACAACGCTCTATTCTGCAGCAACTTCAAGACACTTAAATTACTAATACATCAATCTGTCAAATACGATAGAAACTGTTCACGTTAACACTTTGCCCCTCCATTAATAAGCCTAATTTTTAGTTTTCAAATGAAACAAAAACATCTCAGTACTTTTTATCGAAGGATTTTGTAAATTCTAGCATATCCCAACTAGGATGCGTTAAAAGTAATGCTACAAGTAACCCAGACAATCATCATCTGCACACACCACCCAAATTAAAGCACTGCTGAGCACCAGCACCGCGGAGCACCAGTACTGTTGAGTACTGCTGAGCACCAGCACC